GTGCTGGAAGGAAGAAGTGTGAAGATGAAAGGGGAGGAGAAACCTAGAGTGCCTCTGTGTTTGGAGCACAGCTGCTGGTGGCTGTAAAAGGGTGGGGGTTGGGAGGAGGATTCAAACCAGGCCTGACTGGAAGCAGGGATCTTGAGCTCCTAAGGGATTTCTCAAGGGAGGGCATCTCAAATTCCCTTCCTAGGCCTACTCCTGCCTCTCTCCTCTGTCTCCTCAAGAGGGGCAGGTAGTGGCTTTGTGGTTTTGAACCATATAAGATTTGAAACCCTCTTCTCAGAATCAGGTTGTTCTAGTATTTCTGCAACTTGGCAGGTGGTGGTAGAGGGTGACCTGTATCTGTCAGAGCTGTCAGCAAAGGATAAGCACGTATCATCACAGAACCATAGGCATGCAGGAAGATACTGGCTACCGCAGGCCAGCAAGAACTTTGTAGATGACTGGCTCTCCCGCACGGGTAGAAGCTCAGGCTGCTGGGTCGAGAGTTTGGATTTGTGGCTAAAAACTGACTCCCTGAAGCGCTATGAAAATGGTCGTTTTTATTAACCAGGTATAAGAATTGTTGTTGAACCAGTAATTGAGCAGTTTGTTAAACTAGTGCGAAGAACTGGTCTTCATCCAAGTAACCGTGTAAACAGAGATGCTGATGTGGTGCTTATATCTCAACACACATGCTTGTGTGTCTTGTCTTTTCTACTGAAAATCAAAGGAATAAGCTAAAAACTTAACTGGAAGTTTGGTTGTAAATTGAGTATCTTTTAAAGATGTTATAGAACTATAAGGGTTTTGAAAAATTTTTGCCTTCTAGCTAGATTACTTTTATTCTTATTCCTGAGTTTTTAATATTGCATGTTAGCTTTTTAAAGACTTTTTGAATTTCTAAAGTAGATTATTTCATCTGGAGATTCCTTAGATTCTCTTCTCTCATTTAATTATATACAGCAACTAGTAAAACAGCACAAAACTGTGTGTTGAAAGTGTCCGCGGGAGGAGAGGATTTACACTATTCTGGTTGAGCCAGGTATCTATGTGTGAAAACAATTGGATGTGCACTTCTAATTCAGTACTGCTGGCCACATGTGGCCATTGAGTGCTTGAACTGTAGCTAGTTCAAGAGTACAACTGAGATGTGGTCTAAGTTTTTTACAATGCACATAGAATTTTGAAGACAGTACAAAACAAAGCATGTAAAATGTCATTAATAATTTTTAATATTTATTACATGTAGAAAGGGTACTATTTTGGATATATTGAGTTAATAAAATACATTATTAAAACCAATTCACCTGCTTTTTTCTTTTTTAATATGGCTACTAGACAATTTAAAGTTACATATTTTCATGATGTACATTTATGACTCACATTATATTTCCATTGGATAGTGTTTCCCTGGATAAGGCTGCATTTTCTGACTTAGAAAAGACAAAATGAAAGCAATTAGGAAAAAAACTTTTTATTCCTTAATTTCTCTTATTCATGTCTAGTCTCAGGAGTTTTGAAAGGGAAAAAAATCTCTGCAGCTCATATTTCTCTGTTTCTGAGAGATTGTCTGATTACCCGAGAATAGCGTTATAGTATAATGCTTGTCTTTTTCCCCCTTCAGCCTCTCTAGTCTGGTGGTGACTGGATGATAACTATAACTCTAAATGTTTGACCAAAATTCTGGTGCCATGTTAATTCTGTTGCCTTTTTTACATGTCTTCTATGATCTTACATAGCTGGAAACGAATGAAAAATTTTATATGAAGATATTGTTATGGGAATGTTTGTCTTATATCAAAGTATGATTAGTATAATTCAGGATAGTCATTCAGTAAAGGTTGAGTCTCTCAGCTAAGAAGTTATAATGGGCCCACAGAGGTATCACACATGCTATGTACCTCAGGAAGCCTCTTCTCTAGCCAGGAGATGGACTCTCAGAGTGAAATGACTCAAGAAGAGCAATCCCAGGTGGGGACCATACAGCCAGATGGCTCATAAATGATATTGATGAGCAAGTTGTAATTTTAATCTCATAGTCAATCTGTGACCCTAGGGAATTCTTAGAGACCAGCCCCTCTATCCCTCCTTCCATGGAGTCTTCTTGGTTTTAGTAGCTCTGCAAGTAAATATAACCTGGCTTTGAGCATGGCTCTTGAACAGCCCAGAAAAATTAAATCTGCTTCAAGTTTTGTTTTAAGCTAGTTGCCTTTAGAAGTTTAGGCCTAATAAACCTGTTACATGTAAGAAAGTATGTTCTGCAACCAAATTGGATAAAAAGAAAATAGATTATATACCAGGAGATCTTTAGTGAAAATGTTTGTTTAAAGCACTTTAAGACAAACATTGTTTAAAAAGGCAAATAAGTGCATTTATAAAAAACTACCCAACAAAAATAGACAGGATGCATATTTTTTTATAGTGTACTTGAACATTCACCAGGTAGACCATATTCTGGGCCATAAAACAAACTGTAACAAATTTAAAAGACTTAATTATAGAAAGCATGTTTTCTGACCATATGGAATTAAACTAAAAAAAATAACGAAAACATCTAGAAAATGCCCGAATATTTGGAAGTCAAACAACACACTTCTAAGTAGCCCTTGGGTCCAAAGATAGTAATAAGGGAAAGTAGAAAACATTTTCAATCCAATGAAATTGAAAATATAACATATCAATAATTGTAGCTGACACAATGCTTAGAGGGAAATTAATAATAACTAAATGCTTAAATTAGAAAAGAAGAAAGGTTTGAAAGAAACAAATTACTGATGTCAGTACTGAGAGGACATCACTACAGACTGTACAGACATTAAAAGAATAATAGGGAAATAGTACAGACAACTTGATGACTAGAAATTGGACAAATTTCTTGTAAGACACAAACTACCAAGGTCACTCAAGAAGAAATAGATAATCTGAATAGTTCAACAGCAATTAAAGAAGTGGAATATATAATTTAAAACCTTTCTACAAAGAAAATTCCAGGCCCAGATGGCTTCATTGGCAATTTATCAAATCTTTAAGGAAGAAATAACAATTCTACACAAACTTCCAGAAAACAGGACAAGAAATACTTCCCAACTCATTTTTATGAGGTTAACTAGTATTAGAAGACATATTAAGAAAATTATATACCTATTTCCCTTATGAACTTGGACATATGAACAAAATATTAGCAAATCAAATTCTGCAGTGTATGAAAAGAATAATAATAGTTACATGCTCATAAACTGGCTCTCTTGATTGGGGATGGGGAGCCCTCTTTGTACTCTTCACTGATTTCCATAGTGTGAAAACTCCCACAGAGGCCAGTTGTAAGCTACCAACGTGAGGTCCCTGATGACCATGGAGTTGGACAGAGATGTGTAGAATCAGCTTTCATGAGCTATTATAATCCAGCTTCAGCCCATCATGACCAATACATAATTTTCCTAAGAGTGCAAGACTGGTTCAACATTTGAAAATCAATGAATGTACTTCACTATAATAACAGACTAAGGAAAAAGACAAAATACTTAATTCTACATTTAACAAAGTTAACCTACCCAAACTAATGCTCTGAAATACAGTCCACTTCAGGCCCCACTGTGCCCTGTATTGCCTGTCCCTTTCTTCACTTCCATTGCTGTGGTCATTGTTGTTTCTTTGCAAATATTTAGATTACACCCTCTTCCCGTGGCCACTGCTTGCTTATTCAACATTTTTTAATGGATGCAGTGACTCACTGGGAGGAGGGAGTGATACTACAAACTCAGACAAAAAACACTGAGGTATATAAATCTGTGTAATTGGCTCATAAATGTCACACACACAGACCATGACAAAGAAGTATGTGTGTCTATTTTTACTTCCTTAACACATTCAGGATACTCTTTTTTCTTTTACAGTTACTCTAGTGGGGCCATAGGATAGTAAAATGAATACCGGATTCTTTACTGGTTTGGGAGCAGCCATGGGTCAAGAATCCTGTCCTTTTTAAAATCTTTCTATCAACTGATATGTTACTTGGCATGTTAATGAGACTCAGTGCATGTTTCTATGAATGGATAAATGAATTTAAGATAATTCTGAGGATTCCTTACTTGCAGAGGCTCTCAGTTGAATACTTAATGTGAAACTCAAAAGCTCACCCCAGAAATGCTGTTCCTTGGAAGGGATAATTTCTACTCTAGTATAGTGATCTTTAGTATCTCTGCTTGTTAAAAGACATTAATAAAATGAGGGATGTGGGAAAATATCAATTAAAATTCCTTAACTTCTTTTAAAGAGGTCTGGGCCACCTATAGCATATGAAAAAGTACTGTGGGGTGGGTAGAATATTAAATGATGAGTATTGATTATAGCTACGAGGTTATGGTGCATTAGGCTTTTGTGTCTTGTCCATACCATTTAATGTGTGTGCTCTTTAAAAAAATCAATATATAAGTGCATTTGTGTTAATGGGTGGGGAGAGACCTGGAACACAGTTTCAACTCAAGTTACTATTTCTCTTTGAATTTTGACACTGTTGATCATATATGTGATTTATTTAATGGTTAATTTTTGCTTTACTATGTGATTTTGGTGAGATAGAAATGGAGTGGTGAGTGTTCTCTGAGTCCTGGAATGGTAGCCTGAGTTGACGAAGTCTGTGAAATTCAGTTTGTTTGCAGGTAGGCTAAGAAGAGGGTGTGTTTGGCTAATTTAAGGCCAGACCCGGTTCCGGATTACTCACCCCCGGAGGAGCAGGCAGACAGACTTGCTTAATTTAAATGAACAAAACTTTTGAGTTTCCTGATTTGTTTGGGAAGAAGAAAGAACCTTCAAAAAACATACCAAATTCCTCCTCAACACCGATTCTGCTTCAAGCTGAGCACTTGTCTCAACAGCCTCTAGTCATCAATAAATCGACACTTGTGTAATAGTCAAGTTTGGTTTCAGTCTCTGGACTACCACAGTGATCTTCATTTTTATACTGAATGAGATTTGTGTTTATTCTAATTTCACTAATGGAAGTTTTTCTCCTTCAGGGATGGATGAATGAGATTTACAACTATGATCCAGAAACTTACCATGCAACTTTGACACATTCAGTCTTTGTTCGGCTTGAGGGTGGGACCTTAAGACTTTCAAAGCCTAATAAAAATATATCCAGGAGAGCAAGCTATAATGAAACAAAACCAGAGGTCACCTACATCAGCCAGAAAATCTATGACCTCTCAGACAGTAAGGTGAGTCCAGCTTATTTTGGAAGCTTCCATAAAAGAAAAGCATTTGGAATCTTGGTTGCTTTACTGTATTTTTTTTCCCTTCAATAGTGTGTGTGTTTAAAATATTAGTATATAATTTAGAGCACCTTTCATACATTTATGTGTACACTAATAACCTTAGCATGTTTTTAAATGCACATTCTAATTCAGCAACTCTGAGTCAGGGCTGAGAGTCTTGTTTTGAGTTCCCAGGTGACTCCATTGCAGCTGGTCCGTGGACCACACTTTGAAGAGCAAGAATGTAGCACATTCTTCTGCCTTTGAGAATTAATTTTTTCAGTCAAATGAAAAACTATCTGTGGTGGTGCTAGGGTATTAACTAATGACATCTGTGTAAATGTGAAAATTATGGATACACAAAATAACTGCATTTTGATGAAGTGTTATATGCTTCTGTTTTTGAGAAATGTAAACTATATGTTATTCCAATATGCTATAGGTTCTCCGTACTTCTGAGAATTTATGTGAGTGATCTTTATGTTCCCCCAAATAAACAGAAGTATTTAAAATAGTTTTTACATAAATTTCTTCTTGATGATAGACATTAGCTTCCCATCTAGATCTAGATAATTTTTTTTTCCTCAGCTTCAGTTTTACCTAGGTTATTAAACTCAGTTGATAAGTAAATTTAATTGATGATAATCTGCTAAACAATTACTACTGCATGAAAACTATACATATTTTTAACTCTTGCAAAAATCTTAACCATTTTCTTTCTGGAATGATTTTGAAGAATAACAGGTTATTTCTAAAATTTATTCCAGTTTCTATCATTGTGTTATAGACAGGTGGTAATTATTTTACATTCATCATCTTAGTCAAAAGATTATAAAGTTTACCTTTGTGCTTTGCATAGTATTAATGCAAAGTATAGCCAATTCTTAATTTAGTGTGTAAATCATCATTTCTCTGTCTCTGTAGATTTATCTTGTACCTAAAAGTTTGGCTCGAAAGCGAATCTGGAATAAAAAGTACCCTATTTGTATCGAGCTTGGTCAACAAGATGACTTTATGTCTAAGGCCCAGACTGATAAAGAGACCTCTGAAGAAAAGCCACCAACTGAGAGAGAGCTGGGAGGGGAGGACCCTAAGAAGCCGTCCCATCCTCCTGAGGGAACAAGAGCTGGCCAGCGAGATCAGATACTGTATCTCTTTGGGAGAACTGGCAGAGAAAAAGAGGAGTGGTTTAGGAGATTTATTCTGGCATCTAAGCTGAAGTCAGAACTCAAGAAGCCACCTGGTGTCTCTGGAAGTAAACCAGGTAAGGACATGTGTGCTAAATGCTCATGTATTTTTAAAGAGCCTATAGGAGAATTAAGAGAGACTCCCAGGTAGGAAGGAAGGATGGCCACCCGGAATTGATGACTCTCTGCCACCTAAGATGTGTTCTCATGAATCTTTTACCTTTTAGGTTGACCACTGCAGCCCCTTTTCCTGAATCATTTAACCAGTGATGGGACCACTTGCAGATGCATATTTTTTGCCTTTGCTGGTACCTTAGGATTGTATTAATGTTTACATATTGTTACTCCTCTGAGAAAAGAAGCAACAGGAGAATCCTAGTTAAAATATGAAGGTGGGTAAGTCAGGGAGATAGTTCAAGCTAGTGCTCTCAGGCTCCTCCTGGCCCTCAATAGATTCTCCAAGCCTGAGATGCCATAGACATGCAGAATCCTCTGGCCTCCCAGTTTGCTTCATTTGCACAGATAACCATGCACCACTGCTCATTTCCTGTCCCTCTGCCCCATATATTCAGATTCGCTGAATTTCTCACTGTTCTCCAAACATACTATGCCCTGTCATTGCTTTTTGCATATGCTATTCCCTCTCCTGGGAATGCTCTTCCCCATCCTGGGCTAGGAAAATGCCAACTAGTTCTTCAAGAAGCAGCCCAGAGGTCACTACCTGTGAAAGTCAGTACTGGGGTAAGTGCCTTTTGGATCTCGTGGGTACGTGGGCAGAGGCTGTCACTCCCCTTCTTTCTGCCCTGAAAGCTCTTTAGTGCTGCTTCAGTTACAGTACTTATTAGAGAAACTTGTGATTTATTTGCCTAAGTGCCTGAGTTCAAGGGCAGGGATTATGGCTTATTCTTTTTAATGTGAAATTGGCCCAGTGAAAGTGCTTGGTGAACAATTTGTTGAGTGGAAGATGGCATGTTTGGTATTGCCATGAGCTGTGAATGAACAATTAACTTTCTGCCCACTTTCCATTTGTGTTAATCCTATACTGGACCCTAAGACATCAGGAAGAAAGACAAAGGTACGTGCCAGAGATGTATTTCATGGCTCCCATTACTCTGAACTGTCTTGGAAAGGGATAAAAGCTGCTCTAAAAAATTATCTATCATTAGAGTGCAAGGTATATTTCAGGGTGGGAAATAACCTTATAAATATTTTTTAAACAGTCATTTGATAGCATTTTAGCTGCTTTTCAGCTTAACCCATTGGAGTCTGTTCTGCGTTCCATGTACTTGGCAGTCATCTTCTCCGTCCGTATTAACAGTCATCACCTCTTGGCTCCAGGGCTTTTGTCCTCACACAGCAGACACAGCAGTCCCTCGGGGCACCCAGCCCACAGCCGCAGCAGCAGCAAAGGCAGCGTGGAGGAGGTGATGTCCCAGTCAAAGCAGAAGGAGCTCGTGGGCGGTGTGCGGCAGAAGGTGCTTCTGGACTACAGCGTGTACATGGCCAGATGCATCCCCCAAGAGGACCAAAGCCCCCGGAGGAGCCCTGTGCAGAGCGCTGAGAGCAGCCCCACGGCTGGGAAGAAGGTGAAGTTGGCTGCCTGGGCTGGGCCTTTTCTCTTCTACTTCAACTCATTTCTTCACACATAAGCGCTTTGTGTCTTGTGTGCCAGACCCTGTTCTGGGCACTGGGGACACAGTGATGCACAGGACAACTAAGGGCCTTACCCTCACGGAGCTTGTACTCTAATCAGGGAGACAAAACATCAGGTGGTGATAAGAATTAAAGCCAAATAAAGGACAAGGGGAAGTGGCCAGAACTGCTATTTTAGGTCAGTGGTCAAGGAGGACCTCTTTGAGGAGGTGATATTTGGTCAGAGACCTGAGTCATGTCTCAGTGAGCCATGGGACATGTGTGAGAGGAGTGTTCTGGGGGACCAGCATGTGCAAAGGCCCTGAAGCAGGGATGTGGTTGGAGTATTCAGGGAACATCAGAGGCCAGGGTGGGTGACAGTGAGCAAGGGACAGAGAGGCAGAGCCTCATGGGATCAGTTCCAAGAGGGATGGAAAGCCCTGGAAGAGTTTTGAGCAGGGAGTAATGTTGATCTGATTTAACTTTAAACAATAAAGAGCTCTCCATGCAGAATTGGTGGTAAGAGGAAAAGACTGTGTGGGAGACACTTCTGGCAGTGGAGTGCGGATCTGAGGTCAAGGTTGTAACTGCAGGTGGTGAGAGGGGCAGTGTTTGGGATGCGTGCTGGAGGGGAGCTGGCTGGGCTTGCCCATGAGTGAGCCAGAAGAGTCAAAGGTTGCTCCCTAGCCTCTGACCTGAGCAACCGGGTGATCGCTAGAGAAGCTGACAGTCATAAGTAATAGAGGTCCGGTTCCTCAATAACCATTTTATTCTCCAGTCCTCAACTCCTCAGCTCTGTCCAGATGTCGAGCGCATCATTACCAAAGTGTAACAAGCTGGACATTGACTCAAGATCATCTGTGACAAGATAACTAATATAAGCTGCCATATGCCAGATTCTGTTAGGAACCATAATATAATTACTCTCATCCCTTGAATAGTCTTACAAACTAGATGGTATTCTCTCCATTTTGTAGATGGAGAAACTGAGGTTCCCAGAAGTTAAATAGTTTAATTTCACAGTTACTAAGTGATGGAGTAGATAAAACCTGATCTGAGGTACGAAGCCCTTGGCTGCCAAGACTGCCATTCGGCAGGTGACCCTCAGCTGGGCTTGACCTGAGGCCTCCTGCCACTACCCCAACCAGTGAGCATGAAGCCTGTGCTTTTCATGTTCAGTTATTAAAGTGTTTGACCTGTTATAGTGACCGTATTTCTGTTCTTAATAGGAAGCATTTGATGCCTTCCTCTTTGTGCCTTTAGCCAGTCATTGGTCTTTGTTCAGCTTCAGTGAGGAAGAGGCCCCTGAGCCCTCACCCAATCTACTTTATCAAGGTAAAAAAAGACCATGTGCTGGCCCCTGACCCACACTGCCTCTACCCTCCAGCCTGTGTTACCAGCTAGAGTGGGAGGTAGACCTCCTTTTAGTCCAATGGGGAAATATAATGGTCTTCTAGAAATGGCCTCTTCACTACCAGTGATGAATCCTCCTCCCCAAAATTCCCTTTCT